GGATTGAGCTCCACATGGGGCTGCCTGCTCTGTGGGAAGCCTGCTTCTCCCTCTCCCTTTGTGTTTCCCTCCCTCCACACTTGTGCTCACTCTCTCTCACTCTCTCTCTCTCTCTCAAATAAAATCTTAAAAAAAGAAATGAGCTATCAAACCATGAAAGGACATGAAGGAAATTTAAATGCATATTACTAAGTGAAAGAAGCCAATCTGAAAAGTATATTGTGTGACTCCGACTGCATGATATTCTGGAAAAGGCAAAACTACAGAGATGGTAAAAAGATCAGCGGTGTCAGGGACTGGAGGGGAGGGGAGGCTGAGTAGGCAGAGCACAGAAGATCTTTAGGGTAGTGGAAATACTCTATGTGATATCACGAGGCTGGAAATATGTAATCACACATTTGTCCAAACCCACAGAATATCCACCACCAATAGTGAACCCTAAAGTCAACTATGGACCTGCGTGATTATGATGCCTCCTGTAGCTTCACTGATTTTAACAAACGTCCCATCTGGAGGGGGTGTTAATATGGGGAAATTTATTTGTGAGTGCAGGTCGAGATATACAGGAACTCTCTGTACTTTCGGCTCAGTTTTGCTGCAAAGTCAAAACTGCAAACTTAGAGTCTATTTTAAACAAAGAAGAGAGATGCCCTTGGTCATCTCTTGGTAAAGCGAAGAATGCCTCTCTTAGCTCTCCCTTCTCTTCACCAAACTGTCTCCTGTGAACAGTAGCCGTTGGGTGGGATTACCCTGAGTGCCAGGTGCAGGGAAAGAGATGTCCGTAAGCAAAGGAAGAAAAAATGCTGGCCACAATCTGGAGCTCCTTAGCTTGGAAACAGGAAGGCGCGCTTCAGAAATCTTGTTTGAGTAGGGGTCAGCAGGGGGCGCCCTCGGTAGCACAAGCACTTACCACTGTATACTTCCCCAGAAACAGGAGCTTGGATCTGTTTGTCAATGTCATCCTGAAATGAAAGCGCCCAAATGGCGGCAGAACACCCTACCGAGGTAAGAGGGTCAGGGCTGTGGGCTGGACGGCGAAGAGGGACCCAGAGATGAGGAAGGGGATATGTCCCAGTGGCCCCTGTCTTGAAGGCGGTGAAACCAGATGGGAGGAAGGAGGCAGCTGTGGCCAGAGGGGGTTGTCCCGTTCTTCCCCCCATCTTCCCCTCCTCCTTATCAGTGATGGAGCTGTTGGGCTGAACACTTCACATGGGTTTCTTAATCGTCAACTGAGAGTCTGAAGATGAACACACTCTTATGAGTCGTGGGATCCTAAACCTCTCTCGGTCCCCACGTGTGAAATGGGGACATTACCACCTGCCCCAGACCACCGTCCTTCCTTTTTAATTTAATTTAATTTTAATTTTATTTTCCATAGAAAGCAGAAGAGTAACTTATTCCAAAGGAGGACAGGGATCAAGAAATTCATCCTGAAAAATTACTTTGGTGAAATTCTGTGGGGACAGGTGTTCCCTCTGTGAGCGCGTCCTCTGGTTGATCACCCCACTGGAGTCTCAGTGTCTTGTGACAGTTTTTAAGTACTTGGTTGATTCCCACGTTGGGTATAGGTGGGAGACACCTTCAAATCCACAGATTTTAAGGTGAGAGTGATGTTATTTCTCAGCATGGCACCTTCTATCTCAGAAGACTGCACGGGCTTTTTGTGGAGTCGGCAGAGTTTAGGTGAAGCAGACACATAATCCATCGGAGTGTTAAAGAGGTGACAGGAAAAAAATACCACACTGTGGACTAAGGTATTCCGATGTGTGAATGTTTAAGGCAGCTGGTGGCCTAAATAGGCAAGTTGAGGCCGGTGGTGCCAGTGACTGAGGGCATGGCCAAGTGCAGGCAGCCTGGTTCCTCGTGGGGCAGCCATCTGGGACTCCTGACACTTCTACTCACCAGCTCCCGTCGCCCCGAGGTTGCGCAGGGATGATCGTACCACTTGTGTGGTCTTTAGGGGAGAATTTAAAGAACTTAATGAGAACTGAAAGACCCACCATTTTGTATTTCCCTGATGCCAAGTGATGTTGAGCATTTTTTTTTTCCTGTGTCTGTTGGCCACTTGGATGTCTTCTATGGGAAATGTCTGTTCATGTCTTGGCCCCAGTGAGATACCACCTCACACCAGTCAGAATGGCTAAAATGAACAACTCAGGAAAAAACAGATATTGGTGAGGTTGTGGAGAAAGGGGAACTCTCTTAACACTGTTGGTGGGAATGTGAACTGGTACAGCCACTCTGGAAAACAGTGTGGAGATTCCTCAAAAAATATAAAATAGAGCTCACTCCCTATGGCCCAGCAATTGCACTAGTAGGTATTTCTCAAGGATACAAACATGGTGACCTGCCCCCCAGTGTTTATAGCAGCAATGTCCACAAGGGCCAAACTATGGAAAGAGCCCAGATGCCCATCAGCAGACGAATGGATAAGAAAGATGTGGTGCAGTATCTACAATGGAATATTACTGAGCCATCAAAAAGAATGAAATCTTCCCATTTGCAATGACGTGGATGGAATAGGGGGTATTATGCTGAGCAAAATAGGTCAATCAGATAAAAGACAAATACCATATGATTTCACCCATATGTGGAATTTAAAAAACAAAACAGTTGAAGGGGAAGGGAAGGAAAAATAAGATAAAAAGAGAGGGAGGCAAACCCTAAGAGAATGTCAACTCTAGGAAACAAACAGGGGTGCTGGAGGGATTGCAGGTGGGGCAGGGGAAGAGGTCATTGGGGGATGGGCATTCAGGAGGGCACCTGATGGAATGAGCACTGGGTGTTACATGCGACTGATGAAGTATTAAATTCTACCCCTGAAACTAAGAAACAAAGACCCACTATCTGAACGTCTGCTCTGTGCCAGCCATTATACTAGAGCTCACATCATCTCATGGAATGAGACGCCCAACGACATATGAGATACTCAGTTTTCCCATTTCACAGACAAGGAAACTGAGGATCAGAGAGGTTGGTCCCAGAACGAGGCCTGTGGGTGCACTTTTAGGATTAATGACCACAGTATCACAGGCTCTCATACCCTTGGTTCCCTGCCCCAAAGCTCACAGGGCTGCTGTAAGCACCAATGACCAGGCATTTCTAAACAACAAAATGAAAACAGGACTTTGTCAACGCAGGCAGCTTAAAAAAAAAAAAAGTGCCTTTATTTTTTAAGTTGATGTTTAGAAGTAAGAAAGCATCTCAAGTTTTATATTCTCGCGTGTAGTCTTGTTTAGACTAGGATAATTAAAAAAAATATTCACCAACAAAAGCATTGGTGCAGCTCCCCAAAATCATTTACTTACAAGCATCCTCAAATTTGTTTTTTATGTGACTGGTGCCATTTTGAGTATCAGAGGACAGTCTGCAGAAAATCAAAATAGAGTTTTGTTGGAAAAACAACAAGAGCAACAGGACATCATTTCGCCCGCGCGGAAGGTATTGAATAAAAAATACAAGGAACACTTTTCTTGTTCTGGTGGTGGTCACCTGTGGCCTGTGTTCTCTGTCCTGCGCACCCCCTGCCCCCCACTACTCTGCCTCTTCTGTGCACGTCTGCAATGGTGTCTGGTTTCCCTTTCTTCAGTTCCCTCTCCAGGGGACGTTGATGCTGTTCAGTTGTACCTTCCAGAAGCTGTGGATGAAGGTCCATAGGATGGAGGAGACGGCTGCAGGTGAGGCCCCCTGGGCAGGGCCAGCTTCGTGCACGTGTGAGCCCTGCCAGCACTACAGGCCTCCATGGCTCCCAAGGGCCCTGCTCTAGGATTCGATGCTCTTGCAGTTTCTGCCTGAAATTCTTAGCTGTTTTGTCTTTTGTGAGTGAGGTCTGACAGGACAGCGGAGCTTCATCTCACCCTCTTCTTTGAGCCCTGGGGCTCTAGTCCCTACGTGGCCTGACCCTTCCCACCCCTGTCCTGCAGCCACTGCTGTCCTCTGCCCAGGGTGGCTCCTAGGTCACTTGAAACAGACTCAAGGGCCTAGATACAGGCATGGGGAGGGTCAGGATGGGGGCCCCATCTCATGACATCTCGGGGTGGGGTCAGCAGCTGCCCCCTTCAGGGCTGGCATTGGCACCTAGGCCAGAATGTTCTGCCCACTCTTGCTGGAGGGACAAGTGCATTCTGGTGCAGAGCCCGAAATCCCTGGGGGTCACAGGGTCCCTGGTAGGAGGTGAGAGCCAGCAGACCATGGGAAGGGGAGCATGACTTCTCTGACCCAACAGGGGCCCTGCAACTTTATTTGGCGTGGAGCCCGCAAATGACTTAGCAGGCCCTTCCGCCGGCTTCTCTCTTACTGTCCTTCAGTGAACACCAGGGTCCCCAGGTGGCCTGTCATTCTTTCCCTGCCTCCTGGATGCCCCTCCCACTGTCCTCCTTTGCCGCCTCCTGTCTCTTCAGAGCGCCATTTAGATGCGCCCTTTGGGCTGGGCCCACGCTAGTGCTCACTGGTTGCCCCTTCCTGGACCACTGCCTCTGGCTTTTGAGCTTGTACTTCCAATTCCTCTGTTGGGCCTCAGTTTCCTCTGTATAATGGGGGCAGAACGAGTCGGCGAGTCTGTGGTTACACGTGTGGGGGTCACCCCTCAGAGGATGGGGCCTGGAGTCCCTCTCATCTGTGCCCAGCACGTTGCTGGCATCTGATCCCCGTGGACGGAATTGGGTGTGGGAGTCTGCAAAACACCCGATTTCTTAGCCCGTTCACACTCCTGCAGGGGATCTCTACATCTGTATAGCCCCCATGCAGCTTCGGGCTTTCACATCCATCGTGCCTCTCCCAGTTCTTCCTCCTGTTCCCAGTGGACTGAGGCTATCACTATGCAATCCTGGCTCAACCCAGAAGTGACCTCTTCTGGCTGTGTGTCCCATGGAAGCCACTGCTGTCCTGACATGGGGGCCCCGTGCGAGCTCCCCCATGCACTGAGAGCCTCCTACTCGAGTAGGGCTCTCACTTGATCTTTCTCTCCAGCCTGATTCAGATGCCCTTTGCCCCCAGGAGGCCAACGGGCAGCCACCTTGCCAGACACTGAGGGGGCTGAGAGCGCGAGGGCAGCAGCTCGGAGGTCCAGCCTTCAGATGTCATTCAACAGGGAGCAGCCCGGGCCATGACACTGGGCAAACAGCAAGAGATGAACACCTCCTCCAAGGAATGTGGATGTCGGAGACAGCCCAGGTTTGAACACATACCGTGGGAGAAAGGAAGACCCCCTCTCCTCCATGGGTTTCTCAAACTCTAGAGTGCAGAGGAAACTTTTAGGAAGATTCTTTGTCATCTGCTTCTCCAAACCTCACTCTCCAGCAGGGACAACTTGGTGGCTGGGGGGCGGGGCCCTGGAGTCTGAATTTGTAACCAGCAGCTGTGGCAGCCCCCTCCCCCACCCACGGAGAGCAAGTCCCGTGCAGCGCGCCGCCGCCCAGACCGCAGCCAGCGATCGATCGGTGGGCTGCCCACACACATACCCATGAGTGGGGAAGCCTGAGCAAGTAACTGAGGCAAAACACCAGAAAGAAAAGGAACTTGCTAGATGGAGTAGGCCCGAAGCTAGAAGGTCGTGTGGACTCCAGGGCTGGGGGATCCGGGTTGGGCCCTATTAGGATGATAAACAGAGGGGAGAAGGGAACAGATGGCTGAAGAGAGGCAGTGATGCTGAGAAAGAGTGTGGGAGAAGGGAAAAGGAGGGAGGGGGGAGAAGGAGGAGGGAAGGCGGGGGGGGGGGGGGGGGGGGGGGAGAGGGAAAAGGGGGGAGAGGAAGAGGGAGGGAGAAGGAGGGAGAGAAAAAGAGAGAAAGTGTGTGTGTATGTTTTCCCACCTCTGGCTCTGCCACTTCCCTTCCCCTGCTGAGACCAGAGGCCTCATCCACATCTCCACGGGTTTCTGGCGCCTTCTGCTCCATTTCCTCAGGTAGCTCTCTGGAAAGGGAATTACTGAGTCTGAGGGTGTGGCCTTGTTCCAGGCTTTCTTGCATGTTGCCCGCCTACTATCCAGAAACCCCAGTGGAGTGCCTGCTCTGGGGCAAGGCACCCGGCCAGGGAAGGCCCTTCCTAGCTCATGAGACTGCAGGGGATGGGAGTCAAGCAGGTGCGCAAGGTACTGGGGATGCCTCTCTTCAGGGTCCAGCTCTGGGGGGATCTGTTTTCTTCAAAGAAAGCACAGCCCAGCCAGAGCTCTAACAATTCCAAGTGTTGTAGCAATGCTAGTTGGGCGTGCAGTTGCCAACACAGCTGACCCCTGAGCAACATGGGTTTGAACAGCGCGGGTCCACTGACGTGGATTTTTTCAGTAAATACAGTATGGACCGCAAATGTATTTTCATTTCCTTATGATCTTTTTTTCTTTCTTTCTTTCTTTCTTTCTTTCTTTCTTTCTTTCTTTCTTTCCTTCTTTCTTTCTTTCTCTTTCTTTCTTTCTTTCTTTCTCTCTCTCTCTTTCTTTCTTTCTTTCTTTCTTTTTTAAAAAGATTTTATTTATTTATTTGACAGAGAGAGAGATCGATCACAAGTAGGCAAAGAAGCAGGCAGAGGGGGAGGTGGAAGCAGGCCCCCCATTGAGCAGAGAGCCCAATGCAGGGCACACTTCCAGGACCCTGGGATCACGACCTGAGTCGAAAGCAGAGTCTTTAACCCACTGAGCCACCCAGGTGCCCCTCCTTATGATTTTCTTAATAGCATTTTCTTTTCTCTAGCTTACTTTACTGTAAGAATATAGTATATAATACACAAGAATATAGCATACAGTAAGTAATATAACAGTGTGAATCGATTGTTCCCGGTAAGGCTTCTGGTCACCAGTGGGCTCTCCGTAGTTCAGTTTTTAGGGAATCAAAAGTTCTCTGTGGATTTTCAGCAGCGCAGGAAGTTAGCACCCCAACCCCATGTTGTTCCAGGGTCAAGGGTAATTGGAACTGCTCTTGGTTTTCTGAAACAGGATGAGGATTTATTGGAGGTCATGGTCAGCCGCATAATGGTACTTGGAAGATGGCCAGGTCCTGTTTCCTGCAGCCTGTGAATGTATCACCTTGCAGGGAAAAATGGGCTTTGCAGATGTGATTAAATCAAGGATCTTGTGATGGGGAGATTATTCTGGGTCCTTCGAGGAGGGAAGCAGGTCAGAGTCAGAGGAAGAGATGTGACCTTGGTTGGAGAGGTCAGAAAGAGATTGGAAGGTGCTCTGCTGCTGGCTTTAAAGACAGATGAAGGGGCCATGAGTCAAGGACTGCAGGAGAAGGCCCTGTTTGGCAGCTGGGAATGACAGGAAATGGATTCTCCCCAGAGCCTCCAGAAGGAACCGGTCTGGCCAGCGCCGAGTGTGTCCCTCTTAGACTTGTTTCAGATTTCTGACCTCCAGAGTTGTGAGATTGTCAGTCTAGGCTGTTTGAAGTCATAGTGTTTGTGGTAACTGTGGAGAGCCTGACTTCCCTCAGCCTCCAGTCTCCAAGGTGCGGGGTGGGGCGGGAGGCTGCCTCCTGGCTATCTCAGGAAATGCCCCCATAGGAAAGTGTTCAGATGGCCGCTGGCCAGAATGACAAATTCCCACCCCAGTGGCTTGGGGCCGCTCAGCACACTTCTCTGGGCCTTCGTGTGTTACGTCTTCAAGGTGGAGAGTTGCCATTTCCCAAGTTCACTTCCAGCCCTTGCACCAAATACATGTTTGTTAATTGGTAAGGTGCGGGGAGGCTGGCCAGGGGTGGAATGGAACATTTCGTTTATTGCCATGAGATGTGCCACAAGAGCCCCCTCCCCGTCCTGGTACAGGGCGCCCGCCGGCTTGCACTGGCTCTCACCACAACAGGAAGAGACTTGGTAGGTAGACTCCTGGTTTGCACAAACCTGGGTCTTTACCCACATAAACCCAAGCAAAGCTGGATTCTTATGTCAAGCCTGGATGGAGAAAAGGGAGCCAGCAGCTGTCTGTGGACCACAGAAAGTCCTGGACGCTCGTCCCCTCCAGCTTGGCGAGGAGCAGCCCATTCAACAGCCATTGAGGCCTCAGGACAAGGGACACACTGTAACTGCACTCCTCTGACCCGGGAGCTTTGGGAAAGGACACATGGAGCAGTGTGCCACTGGGGGAGCACCATCCTGAGCCTCAAGAGTCTAGCATGGTTCCCCACTTGGTTCTTAGGCAGGAAGTCGGCTGGAGGCCCAAACCCCACTGTGTGCCCAAGAACACAAGACTGATATAGTTTTTAAAAACTATTTTTTAATTTATTTGAACGAGAGAGAGAGAGAAAGCATAAGAAGGGGGGAGGGCCAGAGGGAGAAGCAGACTTCCCGCTGAGCAGGGAGACCGATGTGGGGTTGGATCCCAGGACCCTGGGATCATGACCTGAGCCAAAGGCGGACACTTAACCGGCTGAGCCACCCAGGTGCCCGAAAGGCTAATTTAAACATACCCGAAAAAGAGAGTGAAAGGTTAAACAAAAAACAAAAAACCCTCCATTATCCATCACCCAATGGATATGTTCTACCACCAAAATGTTCTACCCTGCTTCATTTATCCATTTATCCCTTTTTCCTTTCTTTTTTTCCCCTCATTGCTAAAATATTTTAACAGAAATGCCCGGCACTGTGTTATTTTGGAATGTATCTGAAAAATGAGCAATTTTCGTTCAGAACTCCAGTGTCACCGTCACACCTGCCTGAATGAGCTGTGATGCCCTGATGACCTAATATCTAGGTCTAACCGGATTGCCCCATTTAGCTAAGAGGTGTCTCTTTGAAGGCAGTTTATTCTAATCAGGATGTCTCCCCACCTTGCCTGGGGTACTCTGATGCTTCATTCTCTTATAACCTGGCAATCCACTCTCCCCTTTTCTTCACTCCTGTGTTTTCTCCATGTTATTGACTTGCTGCAGGTGCTGGGCTGATTGTCCCATAGAACAGATTACCCGGGGTATTGGAGACTGAAAAGAGGGGGGACACGCTGCTATAGTCATATAAATGTGTTACAGAAGAAGTTCGGCCTTTGTAGCATGTCTAGGTATCAACACCGGGACCTGGGATTCGTCTGTGTGTCTTTGGGCCCCTCACTCTATCCCATGGGTCTGATCAGTGAGGCCAAACCTTTATGAGTGGTGTCAAATAGAGGTATTTGGGGGGATTAGATCCTGTGCAGTTGTGGATGCCGGTTGAGCCGTCTGTAAGAAGGGGTTATTCCTACATCAAGTGTTGGGCCTGAAGTCCCTCGGGCTGGCAGGTGGGGAGGGAAGATAGACCCAGAGCGGGGGAGAAGGACAAACCAGGACTCACAAAGACAGGTGGGGACCCTCGGAGAGAAAATGGAGCTCACATTGGCTCCTATTTGTAAACAAATTTGTAAACAAATAAAACGATAGTGAACTAATCCACAGATAGGTACTACTCATGGTTAGGGTTTGGTCTTTTTTCCCTTATACATCTCACACACACACACACACACACACACACACACACACACACGTTATATCTAGTTTCACAGTTGCGGTTAATTCCTTATACGGTTCTGAATCCCATTTTTTTCTGTTCACATGATTCTCGAATATTCCCAGTCATTAAAATTCTTGGACAGCATTACTTTCATTGGATGTCATCATCCCCCGTAAAGCTGTATCAGAATTTATTTAACCGTGTCCTTGCTGTTGAGCATTTATGCTACTTCCATGAAACATTTATGCTACTTTGTTGAAAATTACACAGTCTTAAGGGGCAATGTTGGGGACGTCTGTGTGGCCCAGTGTTCATGTCCTCAGGAGGACGGAATTCTTGGTTAAAGAGCACCGACATTTAAAGTTTTATCCCCAAACAAACCATGACTTGAACATCTAGAAAAAATAGATCCAGAGAAAGGGAATATTTCTTTTCCACTCTGAACCTGCAAAGCATCCAATTTTGCTGGTTTGGCTGGTACTGGGTCAGAAACGCATAGTTGCTCCGTAATACCCAGCTCTGCTTCTTTTTTTTTTTTTAAGATTTTATTTATTTATTTGACAGAGAGAGATCACAAGTAGATGGAGAGGCAGGCAGAGAGAGAGAGAGGGAAGCAGGATCTCTGCCGAGCAAAGAACCCGATGTGGGACTCGATCCCAGGACCCCGAGATCATGACCTGAGCCGAAGGCAGCGGCTTAACCCACTGAGCCACCCAGGCGCCCACCAGCTCTGCTTCTTAAGTAATTGAGACACGAACCCAGGCAGTGATGAGCATCCTGCTCAGGGCCTCTCAGCACCGAATCGCTCGAAGCCTCCTCTACCTCTGTGGAGGGGAGATGCTGGGGGCGGGGGTGGGGGGAGGACCACTCATGGCGGAGCACAACCACTGTTCTAACCCTGGCTCCCCAATTGCCTTCCCATAGGAGCCCTCCAGGGGGAATCGATGTTCCCAAGGCCCATGCATCTGAGGCTCGATCTTGGCCAGAATCCAGAACAAGGAAGGGGAAACCGCATCTGTGCCCAGGTGAGCCTGTCTGGTGGGGGGTCCCCAGCTATGGGAAGGAAGGGCAGGCACAGCCGGGAGCCAAGTATATTAGGGAAGGAGAACAAAGGTTCACGGGCATCTCGTCCTATAGAACCAATTACCCTGAGTGTCAAAGGAAAAGGGGGAGCACACTGGGAGAGTGTGGGGAAGCCCTCATGGGGTCCCTGTCCAGGTACGGCACAGGGATTTCTGGGAGAGCAGCTAATCCCCTCACTCCTCCAAACTCCTGTGTCTGACTCCAACTCGGCATGCCGGCTGCTCTGTTACTCTGGAACACTCCAGCTTTTCTCTAAGAGAAACAGCCCGACAAGAACACCAGAAAGAAGCCTGGGACTCTCCATCACTTTCTAGATAGAACTGGTCCCCAGACAGAGGAAGGACAGGCACTGGCTCATAGCTGTGGGCAAGGAGGAGGTAAACAGCCTGTTGCCTGTACAGAGTGTCCTATATCCAGGGGCTCTGTCATCCTACTCCTTCTCGAAGGTCTCCAGTGAGCAGGGGAGCTGCCGGGGACCCACCCTGCTGGGACCCGGGTCTTGGCAAGTCTGCCCCAAGTTTCCCCAGCAGCTTAGCTGAGCATTCCCACTGCCCCAGCACGGGCAGCCCTGGGGTTCCCTCTAAAGGTTATGGGTAGAGCCCAGCCACCTCAGATGGGACCACAGAGGACCAGCCGCGCACCTGAGAGCTCCTCCCAGCCCGCCTGGGAAACATCTCATTTTCTATTTGCAGAATCACAGATGTTGACTTTTGATCTCTTCCTCTCTCCCTCTGGGCCTGAGACCCATGATGACAGCTATTTCCTTTCTTTTTTCTGTTCTCTATAGACAGAAAAAACCAGGAGGGCTCAGAAAGGTGGTTCAAATATTGGAAGAGTTACATACTGGCTACTGGGGCGAGTAAGAAAAGATCAAGCCTTTCCATGTGAGGCTGGGCTGTCTTTAGAAGATGGGGAGGGGGGCACCCTTCAAGGCAGTGTTGCCCCACCTTTCACGTGTTTGTGAATCACCCAGGAATCTCGTTATGATGGAGACTGAGATCAGTAGTTCTAGGGATGAGCAGATGAGGTCCACACTAATCGTTCAGGACCACGCTTAGAGAAACAGGTGTCAAGGGGCTTCCTGTCCCTCCTTGCTCTAGTCCTGAAATGCCATGATCAGCAGATCCTCTCTGCCAACTTCATGCAGCCAGCTCTATGCAGACAAGATGCGGGTCTCACGAGCTTCTCCTAGCAGATACTTCAATATAACTAAAACCCTCACTTAGGTCTATGTTCCTTCTACCCCACATAAACATAAGGACATTCAGATACACAGATTTCCAAGGAAGGTGTCTGCAGACCAGGATCTGCCCCAACAGGTCACACAGAGACTCTTACTGGAAGGTGGGGGTCTTCTTTCTCTCACTCCATTCCATCCCTAGCCTTATTTGTCCCCCTTTAAAAAAATATTCAGCTCAAGCATTATATTATACTGAATCTTTTGCCATTCCATGAATGGGCAAGTTCCTGAATACCCCGTGAAAATGACCTTTTTCCCTTTTCTATTTCCTAGTTCCTTTTTAAAAATTTCAAGTTCTGGGGCACCCGGGTGGCTCAGTTGTTTAAGCGGCTGCCTTCGGCTCGGGTCATGATTCCAGGGTCCTGGGATCGAGCCCTGCATCGGGCTCCCTGCTCAGCAGAGAGCCTGCTTCTCTCTCTCCCCCTCTCCCTGCCGCTCTGCTTACTTGTGCTCTCTCTCTAGCTCTCTGTCAAATAAACAAATAAAATATAAAAAAAAAATTTCAAGTTCTGTAGATTTTGTGTACACGGGCTCAACTTTAAGAAAATGCGTTACGAGAGAACTCAAACATAATATAGTGGATTCTTACCATACATTAGAAAGTGAGTGTCAGCTTTATAAAAGGATTCACTGCATCCTGCCTTCAGGTAATGAGCTCTTGTTGGGCATTTAAACTATGAGAATCTTGCTATTAAGATTCCGATTTAATTGGTCTGAGGAGGGACCAGGGCACTGATATTTTGCTTTAAAGTTGCCAAGATAATTCTAATGCATGTGAGAGGAGGTGGGCGGGGGTACTACCAGACGGAATGATGCTGGGTTTTCAACTTTAAATGACTCCCACGACTTGCCGGACATTTAAATGCAACAGACATTTTTGTGCACCTGCTGTATGCCAGGCACTCTGTGAGGCTCCCAAGACGTGAGGAAATCAGCCCCAGGCCCCACCCTGAAGGCATCCACTATCCAGGAGAGGAGATAAAACACGCAGAATTAACTTCATCCAGGGGCCCCGCAAGTCGTGAAACAGGGAAACGGTGCTGTGCTGCACCGATAAAAGGAGAGGCAGGAATGGGGGACCTGGCCCTCCATGGTCATTCCTGTCCCTTCCCCTTCCTCCCAGAAGGTATGAACTCAGCCTCAATATTAACTCGAGGAACTATGTAGCTTTCCGGACTGGGTGACTTCTTATGGTTTCTGTAAGTGGCCAAGGCTGAGTATGAGATGATTTTCAGCATCTCCTCTGCCAAATGGTCAAGCGACTGCCGCCGCCTTCTCCACTGTCCTCTTCTTTTCTGGATGCTTCTCCAACCTCTGGCTTTGGGTGCTCTTCTTCCCAGATGGCCTCAACTGGTCCCCTCACTGCTCTCCATCCCTGACGCCTGGGCTTGCCTGTCCCTAGTTTACCTCTCAGCAATGGTCCCGATTCCTATGCGGTAGGCCCCAAGGTCTGGACTCCACACCGAGCTAGGAACGGCTGAGAGACCCATTCAAGAACTCCTGCTTCGTAAGGCAGGAGTCTATTACTCCAAAAGCCATTCCCCAGTGGGGAAATTCGTGAATGAGTCATTTTAATAAAGGCAAAACCAGGTAGCCCCCAATTTAAGCCACCAGAGAATAAAGCAAATGGATTTTTGGCAGAATACAGCATAGGCCCCAAGATTGCGCTTTGACCTCACTTCTGGGCCTCAGCAAGTGGTCACGTGGGGTCCTCACTCAGCAGCGAGAACGCACCTTCTCCCAGGCCGAGCTGCTCAGAGAGGAAACGGGCTGCTTCGTGGGAGGCGAGCTTTACACTGGAAACCTTTTCCCAGTGGATGTGAGGTGAGGTTTTGGAACAGGAGTATTTGAGCAATGCTTGGGGTTTTGGCTACTTCTAACGAGCCTTATAGGATCCTCTGAAAACCACGCTGTGGCCTGCCTTTCACTGCCTTCCAATTCCACAGGTCTCTGAAATACTTGAATTGAGTTCAGTGCGCATGTGAGGGCGGCCACGGTCCCGCAGAGCAATGACGATGACCCAGTGGTACTGGGACTTTCCTCAACCCCCGCTCTAGGACCCTCAGGTGTGTCCCAGGGCTCAACCCTCACAAACCCTCCAGCGTGGACACAGCACTCCCACTTTACAAACAAGGAAAACTGAGGTTCAAAGATTTGCCCAATATCCCACAAAAGACAAGTGGTTTGAGTCCAGGTTTCCTGACTTTGCATCTGAGGCTTTTACAGTATGATATCATGATCTGTAATCTGTTCAGACACAGTAAAAACTGAAAAGCTCCCCAGAGTGTTTATCTTCCAGAAAGAAAATGATCTCAAAGAAGTGGATTTGGTGGAATTCAACAATGGGTTCGCTGCCAGGGCAATGCTCATGAGTCACCAGGAGGCGGCAGAAGCCTTCCACTCTCGATGCTTCCATCCTTGAAAACCCAGGTTGGCCCCAGGAGTAAGTAGAGTAAGACCCTTTCACAGAGAACCCAGAGAAAAACGCAGGAACGCCCGTGTGGACCGCTAGAAAAGCCGGTTTCAGGCAGTATGCATCAGAGCCAGAGCATGGAAGGAAAAACTCTCCCCTCTGTGGCTGCCCCCAGAAAGTAGGAGGATGTCCCCAGAAGGCCTTTAGTGGCACAGGATTTGAATACAAACGATCTAGAACTTGGGCCATCTGTCTGCCTTGTCATCTTTCCGGTGTCATCTCTCCTGTCTGCCTGCTCCCACGGCGAGGAAACGAAGATCGTAACAACTCCGTCATAGGACTGTCGGAACGATCGGGTAAAAGCACTTTGCAAACAGTAATGTGTACTCACAAGTTGCACACAGGTTAGTTGGGGTCAGTTCACGGACTACTCCCCTGACATCGTCCCCGCTAGCATGTGAGCCGGTGACAAGGTGACCTTATGACGCCTGTGCTGGGGGAGGGGCTCTAGCTGGCCTTGAGGGGATATGCAGAGGGAGAAGGGGATGCCACTGCCCCCAGTCTTTTGTAGGGGTCATCCTGAGTTTAGGACCCTCCGGCCCAGTGTAGTGTGCCTCTAACGGACTCTCTGTCCCCTTGGGGTCTTTTGTCCTCAGAGGAACGCCCTGAACCTCTCTGGGCAACAGCTGAGAAGTATGAGGGTCAGCGATGTGAGCCAGTTCCCTCTGCCCCAGAGACCAAGGGCAGAGTCCCTTCCAGGCCATGTAGCTCCAAACCCAGGAACAGCCCTTCCTGCTTCTGCCCAGGGGCATGACTTCAGGTCCCATTCATGGTTTTATTCATCAGCTGATGACCCTGAGAGGCAGGGAGGACAGATTTGCCTTTAACTCCATTTTTTAAGATGAAGAAATGTTGCCAGTTTAACTGATTTGTTTAAAGTCCGATGGTGGTTAAAAACAAACTCAGAATCTGGTCTTGGGGTCCTAAAGACACCACCTCGCCCTAATGTTTCCCCCGACAGAGATCTCCCATCCCTCTCCATCTGACCTTAATCTCTTTTTAAATTTCTGGCATGGAAACGTCAGGTCATCGTTCTCAACCTATGACGCATCACCGTTATCAAGCTGTGCGAAGACCTTCCCTGGCCGGTTCGATTTTTTCCATTTCGTCTTCGGTGCTCCCTCCAGTTTGGTTGATCAGGTGATTAGTTCATTCATTCATTCATTCATTCATTTGGAAGCTGGAGCCAGATACGATTCTGGCCAGGACTGTGTTTGTGACGCTTTCAACAAGTGTGTGTGTTCAACGAATGTTAGTATGATATCATACTGTAAAAGCCTCAGAGGCAAAGTCAGATGCAAAGTTTTCGGTATTGTTGTTTTCAACTCATGTACCCTAATCTCTGGTGCTTCTTCTGCTATATTCCTAGTGACTTATAAGCTTTCCTCATTCCCCACTCCAGCCATCCTGAAATATATAACTTGCGGCTTGTACCTATTTCATTTGCTTTATATTCTTATTGGCTTCTGATATGTTTTATATTACTCTGGACTTTAATTCTAAAACACCTTAGAGGTGTTTCTGGGCTCATTTTTTCAAAAATATTTAATTTATTTATTTGACAGACAGAGATCACAAGTAAGCAGAGAGGCAGGCAGAGAGAGAGAGGGAAGCAGGCTCCCTGCTGAGCAGAGAGCCCAATGCGGGGCTCGATCCCAGGACCCTGGGATCACGACCTGAGCCGAAGGCAGATGCTTTAACCCACTGAGCCACCCAGGCGTCCCCGTACATGCTTTCGACTCCTGTGTCCAACACAGTAACGGTGATGTTCAGAATCAGTCACTTAAGTCAGTCCTCAGTCATCACCTAAAAGTCCAAGTTAACTCCTCATAAGGCTAACAGTAAATCACCGACACTCTTGCTTGATCCTCTGTACAAGTTTTACATATTCTGATAGTTGAATGATAGACCAGTGGTGCCCAAAGGAACGTTCCATAATAATGGAAATATTCTGTTCAGTATGGTAACCACTAGTGACATGTGGCTATTAAGAAGTTGCAATGTGGCCTGTGTGACAGAGGAGTTAAATTTTAAGTTTAATTAATCAATAAAATTGAAATATGTGGGGGCGCCTGGGTGGCTCAGTGGGTTAAGCCTTGCCTTCGGCTCAGGTCATGATCTCAGGGTCCTGGGATCGAGCCCTGCATCGGGCTCTCTGCTCAGCGGGGAGCCTGCTTGCCCCCTCTCTCTGCCTGCCTGCTTGTGATCTTTCACTTTCTCTCTGTCAAATAAATAAATAAAATCTAAAAAAAAAAAAGATTAAAAAAAATTGAAATATGTGGCTAGTGGTTGCCAGCTGGACAGTGCAGCTCTACAGTATTTCTCCCATGACATGGTCCCCGGACCAGCAGCAGCGCCATCATTCAGGAGCATGTTGGAAGCACGTGCAGAATTTCAGGTGCATCTAGGTCTACTGAATTAAATCTGCATTTTAAGAAGATCTCCAGGTGATTTCTATGCACACTCAAGTTCCCCCCCACCCAGATTTATTGAGATATAATAGACATAATAACATTGTATAAGTTTAAGGGGTACAGGAGTATTGATTTGATACACTTGTACATTGCCAAACGATTATCACCATAGTGCTAGCTAAAAGTGCTCCCTCGGATCGCATAATTGCCATCTCTTTTTTTGTGGGGAAAACATTTAACTTTTACTCTCAGCAATTTTCAAGTGTACGATACAGTATTACTAACTATAATCACCACGCTGCAGATCCGCCAGGGCTTACTCATCTTGTAACTGGAAGTTTATACTCTTTGACCAGCATTTATCCATTTCCTCCCACCCTCCAGCCCCTGGTAAACACCATTAGTCTATTTCCATGAGTCAGCTTTGGTAGAGTTCGCCTATAAGTGGTATCATACAGTGTTTGTCCTTCCCTCTCTGACTTGTTTCACTTAGTATAATGAGCCCAAGTTCCATCCATGTTGTCACAAATGGCAGAATGTCCTTCCTTCTCATGGCTGAGTAATATTCCAGTGTGTGTGTGTGTGTGTGTGTGTGTGACATCTTCTTTATCCACATGCCCCAAAATTGTACACTTTAAAAATATTTTCTACTTTTACTTACTTTCCATTGCTGATGTAGAGGGAAGATATTCATCTTTATAATATTGTCTTTATTCAGCAAACTATTCAGCAAAAGGCTGAGCTTTTGTATTAGTACTAATAATTTGTTGATTATATTCTGTTTTCAGTGTGGTCATCATTCTCTTTCCTTCCTCTGGTTCTTCTTTGTTCTGATTATGTGGCTGTGGCTAAGCCTCCAGTACTGGGCTGGTCCATACCAGTGAGAGCAGGCACCTGGTCTGGAAGGGGTGCGTCTAAACTTTCTCCAAATACAGTATTTGCTGTAGATACTCAATAAAGAGCCTTTGTCAAGTTGAGAAAATATACATTTACTCTAGCTCTGTGAGATTTTTTTTTTTAATTCAAGGGTGTTCATCAAATACTTTAAATGCATAAAATGCATGAAATTTTTCTTCTTTAGTTCATTAATGATAAAAACTACCTTAATAGTTTTTTTCCTCATATTAAAGTCTCCTGTATTCTTGAATAAAACTTAATTGGTCATAACTCTTTAAATACATTGTGGGATACAGTTAACTAATATTTTATTTATAGTTTTCATATCTAGATTCAAGTATGAAATAGTCTGGTAGTTTTTTTGCATGTTTTTGTAATCCTTACCTGACTTTGTAATAAAGGTTACACCAGTCTTATAACAAAGGAGAAACCAATTTCTAGTTTCTAGAACAATTTATATATCTCATGTGATTATCTCTTCCTTAGAAGTGGGTGGAACTTTTCTGTAAAACCATCTATGCCTAGGGCCTGTCAGGAAGAGGGACGTCTTTGTGTTGTAATTCTTAACTGAGTCCTTTCAACTCTGTGTGCTATTTATTCTTTTTCTAATTTTGGAAATCACATTTTGCCAAAATTACATCAATTTTATTGTCTCCTAATTACAATTTCTCATAATACTGTTAGTCTAAAGTTTTCTGTTGTGTTTGTGGTTTTTTTCAGTGTTTATTCCGTGTTTACATTTTATTTTTTTTTAAAGCAATTTTTTTTTTTTTTAAGATTTTATTTATTTATTTGACAGACAGAGATCACAAGTAGGCAGAGAGGTAGGCAGACAGAGAGAGAGGAGGAAGCAGGCTCCCTGCTAATCAGAGAGCCGGATGTGGGACTTGATCCCAGGACCCTGGGATCATGACCTGAGCCGAAGGCAGAGGCTTTAACCCACTGAGCCACCCAGTCGCCCCACCCGTGTTTACATTTTCTCTTTCTTTCCCTCATTAATTTTTTCATGTATTTGTATATTTTATAATCTTTTCAAAACACTAGCTGGTTTAATGTCTTCTTGTTGCTGCAGTCCATTTCTCTGATTTTTGACCTTACCTATATGTTTTCTTCCCGCCCTCCCTCCCCCCTCTCTTTCTCCCTTCTCTCTTCCTTCCTATTCTCCTCCTCCTTCTCCATCTTCTTCTTTTCCTTGTTCTTCTTCCTCTCCTCCTCCTCTACTTCTTCTCTCCTTCTCCTTCTTCAGGTTTATTCTGGAGTTTTTTTCTAGCTCCCTTCCTGCACTAAAAAATTAGCTCCAAGAATTTTTGAAAAGGGGGTTTATATAACTAATAAAAAGGGCTTATGTAGCTAATACTATTTTTATTTTACTTACATTTAAGTGGTATTTTAGCTGGATATAAAATTCTAGATTTGAAATCTTTTTCCATCAACACTTTAAAATATTACTTCATTGTCTTGTGTCCAGTTCTGTTATTGGGGTTTCATGTCATGCTGATTCTTTTTCCTTTTTATTTATTATTATTATTATTATTTTTTACAGATTTATTTGTTCACTTTGGTGGGGGGGGGAGCAGAGGGAGAGGGAGAGAGAGTCCCAAGCAGACTCCACACTGAGCGGAGAGCCTCACTTGGGGCTCGATCCCACCACCCCGAGATTGCAACCTGAGCCAAAGGCAAGAGTCAGATGCTCAACCACCTGAACCATCCAGGTAATCCAATTCTTTTTCCTTTTTAGCTGATCTACTTTTTTTCTTTATAGATGTTTTGAGAATTTTCTCTCTGTCATTAATGTTCTTAAATTTCACTACAACATGTCCAGGCATGAGCTCGTTTTTCATTTATCTTGTTTAACACTATATCATTTCAGTCTGAAGTTTTATATTTTCTTTATTTCTAAGAAAGTCTCTGTCATTATGTCTTCAAGTATATCCGCTCGCCATAATTTATTTTCCCATTCTAGCTCCAAAGTCTGTGATCCTAATCACTGCAGTATCCTCCCTCTCTGAAAAGAGTCAACATTCTGTTGCCCTTGTCTATTCAGGTTCTGCCTCCCTCCCCCATACTGTGAAAGGCAATGACAGAGTCCGATTTTTGTATTTCTAGTTCATCAGTGCCCACTGTGTGGCAAATGAATGAATGAATGAATGAATGAAGAGAATGGAGGAGTGGAGAGACCATACATTCAGAGCATCATGTGCTATCGGGTCAGGGTAGCAACCAAGCTTCATGACAATACTGTGTGCCCACACTGGGAGGCACGACCTCTGGCGGGGGGCAGCCCCTTTAGCAGATCCAACCCTGTGGGAATAAGCACCTGGGACAGCCAGCCTGGCCCAGCCATGCTCTGAGATAGTGACTGCTGTATCCAAACTGGTTCTGGCTTCAAGCTCTGTTCTGGCAGTGGTAGGGATCCCAAGGTGAAGCTGGCCTGACTTTTTCCTGTCCAGCTATGAGATGTATGGCAAGTTGTTCTGCTCTTTGAACCTCGGTTTTTTCTTTTATAATGTGGGGATGATGACATTGCCTTGTCCAGCTTGTAAGGGTGTATAGAGCAGCAAAAGAGATGTTCAAGTGCTCTGTAAGTGTGAAGGGTCAAGTGTAACAAGGTGCCACTCTCATCAGGGACACATCACGGTGTACCTAAGAACCTCTAGCCCTTGGGTCTGAGTTCTGAAGGGAGATTACCCCATGGTGATGTGGAGTCCTAGATTTAAATCCTGCTTCCTTAGAGGTGGCCACAACTCCCCACAGGTCTGTGTCTCTCCAGATCATTGGGAAGAGACTTCCAGG